AAGAAGGAGACATCTTGTGTCCAATAGGAAACTTTAGGAATGACCAACATTTCTGTCTTTTAAGACCAACTTTCTAAGGATTGGGATGTGGAAATGATAAATTTTTGGTGGGAAAATCAGACACACAATATTGTTCCAAGCAGACTATTTGTATATATGTCTGGAGGGAATCTTTGACATTAAACCCGTCACTCTGGACCTTGTGGTTCAGTCAACCACAGAACCAGTTCTGATGCAAACGGTGCTGTAAACACATATAGCATGATCCCAGTATGCGGGCGTCTCTTTTTTTAACATAACACTGTCATTTACACATTAAAGCGAGAGAGACTCAAAGACATTCCGCCTGATTGATTGAGTTTGACTTCATTGATTTGAACAGCTGAGGCAGTGGAACCACGTTTAGCCCCGCATGATGAAATTTCTTCTTTATCTTTACCCACACGCCACTCCACATCGCTGCCAGTATGAGTCATCCCCCCTTTATTTACTCAAAATGAGAACAGGGCAGATGGATACTGATGCATCTATGTCGGTCTCCTAACAAACATCGTTACTCTGCCGATCACGTCGCCCCGCTCACATCCATTTGAAATATTTAGAGCAAAAAAAGGTTGTTTGGAGTTTGACTATTCTATAATTCAGCTTTGATTAGGCTGCAGATGGAAAAATCCAACAGTGTGTCCGAGCATAATATATTTTCCCTTGCTTGCTTTTAAATCACACTATAATAGGTACAATTACGGCTGTATAACCTGTGCAACAGGAAAAAAACCTGTTTCTTCATACGTACAACTCCATAAACTGTTTACAACTGCTGTGTTTGCTGCGTTGGCTGCCATCGCTCTCAGGCAAAGTGATTTATTTTGACACAAAGGGATGATGCTCGGCTCATATCGAGTCGCACCGAGAGTCACATATTGGCTACAGTCAAAGTCACCTCCCCGCAGCTCATCAGCACCTGGATCGACTCCACGAAGCTGGCTGGATTTGTTTTTCTGGCCAGCTCGGTGTTTCCACCTCACTGTGGTATAAATCTTAGACATGCACAGA